TGAAACACATTGTACATGAACTCTGCCCTAGCGACTTACGTTATGCTGGTAAAAAAGACGTGATCTTCCTTGAAAACATTATCCATGAAAAAGGTACAAAATACCAATAAACAAAGTCACTTTATACTAAAAGAGCCTCCAAACCATGAAATGTATCGTGAGATCAAGATCATCGACAATCCTAACAGTCCTCTTCTGTATAGATTTAAATCAATCTCAATCAATGTTCAATCAACAGGTATTTTATACTAGATATATATTTGACAGCCCCGTTAAGAGAGCAATTAAAATACTCAGGACGAACCTGTGCTTTGTAAAATTGTGGATTATGAATTAGGAAAGAGCCGGGTTTGCATACCCGTATTAAAACAATGGTTAATCGGAGTTAAAAGGTGGTATATTTAAACCAAAAAGGATTTTTCCACTCACACTCAACCTCATTTAATATGTTCGATACATTAGAGTGTGTGTAGAACTTCTGTGTGTAGGTATCATTTATATAATATAACCTATTTTCCTATTTTAATTGAACTTTACTTTCACTGCCAACTCTTTTTTTATTTATTGCTTAGATGGATGGACGAGCTCACAGCCCACCTGGTGTTAAGTGGTTACTGGAGCCCATAGACATCTACAACGTAAATGCGCCACCCACCTCGAGATATAAGTTCTAAGGCCTCAGTATAGTTAAAACGGCTACCCCACCCTTCGAACCGAAACGCATTACTGCTTCACGGCGGAAATAGACGGGGTGGTTGTACCTACCTGCGCGGACTCACAAGAGGTCCTACCACCAGTAATTACGCGAATTATAATTTTGCGGGTTTCACTTTTATTACACGATGTTATTCCTTCACCGTGGAAGTGGAATATGGTAGTCAGCGGCTTGGCTCTGCCCCTGGCATTGCTGACGTCCATGAGCAACGGTGACCACTTACCATCCGTTGGGCCGTATGCTCGTCTGCCTACAAAGGCAATAAAAAAAAGTCAATCGGGAACATTTGTTGAGTACGTAATTCATTAGAAAAATTGGTATTCGTCCGGGATTCGAACACAGGTGCATCGCTCAACACGAATGCACCGGACGTATTATCCCTTAGGCCACGACGACTTCAGATTTGTGTAAAAGTTACATTTTCATACTTGAACATCAAGGTTTTTCATTGACAGATACAATTTGTATAGAACTATTTAGCTAGCTATTTATTACTGACATATGTATGAATACCCACAGTATCTATCTATATATCTATTATACAAGTGTTTCATTGTTTTTAACTTACAATATTAACACGTGTGCTATCGGGGCACACCTAGTATTTCCAAGCCTACATACTTAGCACCAGTGAAAAGAGCTTACATGCGCGTGCTTCACTTATATTTCATAAAATGTACGTATTGGCTTTACCTACCCGTGTGGACTCCCAAGAGGTGTCCTACCACCAGTGATTACGCAAATTATAATTTTGCGGGTTTGATTTTTATTACACGATGTTATTCCTTCACCGTGGAAGTCAATCGTATGTTCACGATTGACTTGTTGAGTACGTATTTCATTAGAAAAATTGGTACCCGCCTGCGGGATTCGAACACCGGTGCATCGCTACATACGAATGCACCGGACGTCTTATCATTTAGGCCACAACGACTTATCTCTTAATCAGTCAAAAAAAAATAGATACCTACAAATCACAAGTTCGAAAAAATTGTTATTTTCGTACCTATGCTATTTTAATACGGCCAACGCCATCTATTGAATCAACCGGTCTGACAAGCGCCTGCAGAGTTTGTTGCCTGAATAGACTCCGCGAGTGATAACTCGTGATAATAATATCTTCGAATGTAATAAAAAGGTGAGTCACTTTTCATCGAATTTTCTTTGTATTTTATCTACTTGAACATACAGCCTAATTTATTCTATTAGTGACGAAACCATGTCTGTGTAAAAGAAAAATGAAATTAAACGTGAGGAAAACCAGTTAAACCAAAGTCCTCTCAGTGAAATGGTGGGACATTACTAAGATTCCAATCAAATTTTTACGTTGTTGATTGAAATGTTGATTATTTGTATATAAAATATTAGGTTATAGGTTAGGGTACAGGCCATATCATTTCCACTCCCTACACTAGCCCCATTTCGATGTGTCGTCGAACTATTATTTGCTGTTTACAGGTGGACAGTTTTTCAACTTGTCCCTTATACATGGTGCTCCTTACCTCCACCTTCCATAGCGCTATTGTATGAAGAGGAAACGATATGAAGCAGTTTTAAATACAGTGAAATGTACTAGATTAAAGTGAAGCGTGGGGTAGTATATTATTATATACGGAACTGTTTTAAAAAAAAACACTTATTCCTATTACTCTAATTAGCTCTCTTTTTTTTTAATATACTAGATGGTACTTCTTAGTCCTACTCTCCAAAACTAGCGCTATTTCGGTGAGTCTTTTAACAATAACTTGGTCTTTACAGGGGGACACTTTTTCCCTTGCAACCTATACAAAATGTTGTTCGTTACCTCTATTCTCCATAGCTTGATTCTAACTAAAAGACATAGATTTACATTTGATGTACATTGCAATACCCAGCAAATTCGTCATTGTGGTGAGCTGTCATTTTGATTTATTTCAAAAATAAACAAAATAAAACTTTTAACGGTACATCTAATGTGTCTTAAAAGACCTGAATCCAGGATATAAAAAAATATATTTAATGTCGATTGTCTGTAGAATAATCTGTTTGACTTTTTGGCGGGAACGCGAGGTGTGGAGTTGTGTGATTTGTTTTATTTTGTCTATTTAGTGTTTCTTCAGGTTTAAATATGTAATGACGGTGGAATATTAACTGTTTAATATCTGTGAAAGTGCACAGATGTGGGAAAATGATACAAAGCCGCTGGACGTCACTTTTCGGGATCCTCCAAAAAGTCCACTGAAAAAGTCTCAGTAAATGACCACCATTTTACTGAGATTATATGTCATCCCATATCATCTCATCTCATTTCATATGATTTCATTTCGTTTCATTTCATTTCATTTCAAGTCGTCGTGGCCAAATGGATAAGACGTCTGGTGCAATCGTGTTGAGGCGATGCATCGAAGTTCGAATCTCAGACGGGTACCAATTTTTCTAATGAAATACGTACTCAACAATTGTTCACGATTGACTTCCACGGTGAAGGAATAACATCGTGTAATAAAAATCAAACCCGCAAAATTATAATTTGCGTAATTACTGGTGGTAGTGGAGGTAATACCTCTTGTGAGTCCGCACGGGTAGGTACCGCCACCCCGCCTATTTTTGCCGTGAAGCAGAAATCAGTGCCGTGAAGTTTCGGTTTGAAGGGTAGGGCAGCCGTTGTAACTATACTGAGACCTTAGAACTTACATCTCAAGGTGGGTGGCGCATTTGTGTTGTAGACGTCTATGGGCTTGTACAAAAAAAAAGTACCAAAAAATGTCTATGGGCTCCAGTAACCACTTAACATCAGGTGGGCTGTGAGCTCGTCCACTCATCTAAGCAATACAAAAAAAATTTATTTCATTCCATGTTTCATATTAATTAACCTCATTTCATTTCATAAAATCCTTTTTCATATAAAAAAATATATAAAAGATTAGGCTGTATGGTATGACACCTTTGTCTTTCCAATTGGAAAAGTAAAACTACTAACTGTCTAACTCAGTGTGACCAGATTTAGCAGAATTCTGCGATTTTAGCAGAATTAGACTCCCAATTTAAGGTTTAGCAGATTGTGTTGCAGATTTGAAAATAAGGAATTTTTTGGCTGAATCTCATAAAAACTTCGCAGAATTGTAGCAGGATTTGACATCTGTGTTTCGTATTTAGTCATTCGGGTAGTTGCGCTAAAAATATTTGAGGAATTTACCTTTGTAAAACAATGTCAGGTTTTTCTTCCAACAATGCCAGCACTTAAGCAAATTTTAGGGGGATCCCCGTTAAATGTTTAGCTTTGAAGTTGTGTGTAGTGCTCAATGAACACTGTTTACATATTTTCTAAATAGTGGTCGACCATCGTCACTCAGTTATGTAATACTCGTAATTTGCAATTTCTTGATCCGCAAAACGGTGTATACAAAGAATTCACAAGTTTGGCCAGAACTTTTTCTAAAATTCCTAATTTGGTTAAAGAATCTAATATGCAAGCAATTGACTCCGAATATCGGGAGGTTAAATTNTGCTCAATGAACACTGTTTACATATTTTCTAAATAGTGGTCGACCATCGTCACTCAGTTATGTAATACTCGTAATTTGCAATTTCTTGATCCGCAAAACGGTGTATACAAAGAATTCACAAGTTTGGCCAGAACTTTTTCTAAAATTCCTAATTTGGTTAAAGAATCTAATATGCAAGCAATTGACTCCGAATATCGGGAGGTTAAATTAGACAAAACAGTGGCCAAACTGTTAGAATCTGGAGGAAGTTCTAATCCCACACCTATGAGTTTGAACACAGAAATGTTTTGGGGCCACATTTCAAAAATGACGAAGGCTGATAGAACTAAGTAGTATCCGCACTTGGTTGATTTTGCAAAGGCCATGATGATTTTGCCTATGTCTAATAGAGCTTGTGAGTGCCTATTTTCTCAAATAAGCAACATAAAAAAAACTTGCGGAACAAATTTAAAAATTAACATATTGCAGCAATTCTACATGTCAAACAGGCAGTTAAAGAACAAGGTGGATGCGTCTATTTTACGCCATCAAAAAATATGGTAAAGGCATCACAAAGCCTGACAGTTCCATATAAAACATGGACGCCACAGAAATTTTGAAGTTATAATTTGTTAATAAATATTTGAAATTGCCTTTTTTTGTTCTTTTAAATCCTCGTAAAAATGATGACCTTATCTATTAGCAGAATTTTGGAATTATTTATATAAACTAAGCAGATTTTAGCAGAATTTATACGAGTAACTGGCATAATGTTCGATTTAAATCTGGTCACACTGGTCTAACTACTAATAGTCTGTGTTTTGATTACAAATTACAATTTTTCAGTTTGAAAATACGGTGCTTTTTATTAGTATCTGAAATGAACGATGAAATTCTACCTAAACTAATAACTTGCAAACCTTTAAAAGATGAATTCAATCATTTGAATGAGATTCATCTAAGCTCTAACGAAGTGATTATTTTTAAATATTTTTTTCTACAAGCTTTTTCTTAACGTTGTTTTCGGGAATTTTCATGAATCTTAGGCAAATAATTAAATAACATACATTTAACTGCTTTCTGTGCTACATTGCCTTACTCTTTCATTTTAGTTTTCAGTTGGACGTGCTACACAAAATGAGGCAATTATACCTTTTCTATCAATATCACGGAACCATTGCATATTTAAGAAAACTAACGACAACGATTGGACCATCGAAGACAGAAGTACATTTGGTATTGAAATTAATGGAACAAAACTTGGCAAAGGCAAAAGCAAAAGATTATACCATCAAGACATTATTAACCTGGAACCCTCTGGAGAATTTTTATACAGATATATTCATTCTAATGATGATTTTGAGACACCGAGGAAACGTTTTAAGATTGAAAAATCCCAAAACACGTCTGATGGTGACATCGCATATGATGTGAAAGTAAAATTTGAAGCGTCCCAGAAATATGAGATTGAGCATATAGAAGACAAAATACAGAATGCTAAACAAATGCAAACAACATCATTGATATTAAAACAACAATTAGAACTGGATATGGATAGACAGATACAACAGTTGAAAAATGATTACGCATCACAAATAGAAAACTTACAGGGAGAAAAGGATGAAGTTGAAAAACAAAAGGTTTTTCTCATTGAACAAAGGGATGCAGAATTAACAGCTGTTAGAAAAGACATGGAAGGCAAAATATCTGAACTAATGGTAAGTACATGTTTACATTATTGGCCTACTGGTGATAATTGAAATGAACTAACATAATTAAAAGTACTCTATTAGTTTAATATGCATTATCTAGCTCGGTAAGAACTTCTGTAGTCCTTATAAACATATTAAACTGGTGGGTTCAACCCCTCTAGATACGATTACAATGAAGGTATTTTAATTATCAACTTCATAATGAAGTAAAAACATCTTGTGGTAGAAGAGAAACTAGCAAAATTCCTGTTTTTTTTTTATTGTGTAGATGGGTGGACAAGCTCACAGCTTACCTGGTGTTAAGTTGTTACCAAAACCCATAGACATCTACAGCGTAAATGTTGCCACCCACCTTGAGATATGAGTTCTAAGGTCTCGGTATAGCTATAGCAGCTGCCCCACACTTGAAACTGACACGCATTACTGCAACAAAGCAGGTATATGCAGGGTGGTGGTACCCATCCGTGCATCCTCCAAACTTATAGTGGTTTTCTTACTTTAGACAATAATAACATTTTTTTGCAATTTAGGATCAAATACAAAGACATAATGAAACCGAAGCCGAATTAATGACCGAGAACAGTNTCGGTATAGCTATAGCAGCTGCCCCACACTTGAAACTGACACGCATTACTGCAACAAAGCAGGTATATGCAGGGTGGTGGTACCCATCCGTGCATCCTCCAAACTTATAGTGGTTTTCTTACTTTAGACAATAATAACATTTTTTTGCAATTTAGGATCAAATACAAAGACATAATGAAACCGAAGCCGAATTAATGACCGAGAACAATTTACTGAAAGAAAAGCTATTAAAAGAAAGGGAAGAATTTATTTCTGAACTAAACCGAGAGAGTTCTTCAAAACAAGATATGCTAATGAAACTAGAAACTAAAATCAAGGAACAGGAGGAAATAAGATATAAAGAAAAAATAGAGCTAGAACAAATGCTTAGAAAAGAAACAGAACAGTTAAGGATAGCAAAAGAAAAGGTGATTTTAATGAAATATGTTAAGTTTATTGTGATCTTTAAAAATAATTATAATATTATTTATAAATTACAGGAACTAAAAGAACTTGAAGAGCAAAAACTAAAAAGGGAAAGGGAACTAGAACAAGAATTGGTTAACATTAAACAGAACTTACAAGAACAAGTCAAACAGACTGAAGAACAAAGAATCAAAGCTCTACAAGATCTAAATAGACAAAAAGAAGAGATGAAAAAACTAAGTGAAGGGGAAAAAGCAAAAATGGAACAACTTGTAAGTATTTTTTGATTAACTTTAGTAAACAGCTGAGCTTTTACTTGCTCTTAAAGAATTTATCAAGTACCACTAAACTCGGTCGCATTTTGCTGTGACTATGGTTAATTGCATGAAAAATATTGATTTTTAAAGGATCCATGCACCATTTATTGTACTATTACTGAAACTTTCTCTGGAGTGCCAACCATAGCAGTTCAGCAATGCATAGAGCATAAACATTGATATTTATGTAACATTCATATTAATTTAATTATACAAATTGTAGCAAAAATGACATTCCATCTATAAAACATCTCAGTCATACCCAATCATGTAGATAATTTAACTTACACTGCCACCTGCTAAAATCTTACAGAGCTCACAAATAGTAATAACCATTGGTCTTAAATTACTTACAAAAGAAGTACCTTTATTGTAAAATGAGATAAAAAAAATGATATCTCTTTAACGTAATGTTCAAAAATTAAAATACTCATTAATTTTAGATCCAGGAGAGAGAAGAAATCCAATTAAAGTTACAAGAGGCACAAACAGCAGCTGAGAAATCTCTAGCCGATCTGCAGGTAAGATTAATGATTCTGTTTTAAATATCACTAATGTAATAAAACAACATAAACAGGCAGACAGCAAGGTTAATTAAAACGTTGAAACAATTATTATAGATTCGAGTACAAACAAGAGAGATTGAATTGGCTGCTTTAGCGGCGGAGAGAATACAACAACAAGCAGATCACTCGAGTGAAGTCATAAAAAACTTGCAAAATCAACTGGAAATGGTAACATTTATAGACTAGTTTGCACCTTTTACACAAGCAACCCTCAGACACAGCCCACTGAGTTTCTCGCCGGATCTTCTCAGTGGGTCGCGTTTCCGGTCCGGTGGTAGATTCTGCGAAGCACGGCTCTTGCTAGGGTTCGTGTTAGCAACGTCGTCAGGTTTGAGCCCCGTGAGCTCACCTACTAGTTAAGGTTACGCTGATATAGCCTCTCAAGGCTATCAGCTTAGGTAGGAAAAAAAAAAACAATAATGTTATGCCGACTGTATACACATTCGTCTCGTTCTCTCGTGTGCCTTTCGTCCGCTCTCGTCGCGTTGAGGGTTGACACCAGACCGCATCATGTACACATTCGTTGTATCAATTGAACTTCGTATGCCGATTGCGATGGAGTTAGAAGAAACTGACACAGTTGGCGGACAGTTAAACGCACGAGTGTGTACAGGCGCGTTCTCGTTTTCATCGCGGGACTTCCCGAGATCCTTTGACTCGAGCGGAAAAAACCGACACGCTTCCGAGACCCAACGAGAGCCACGAGATGAGACGAAGGTCCCATTTACACACTCGTCCTCGGCCTGTCTCGTGGTGTCTCGACGAGCGTGTACAGCCGGCGTTATTGTTAACACATATTTTGGGTTTTTGTTTGATCTTTTAATGACCATTCATCTCTGTTGTCATGGAATAGGCTATATCCAGGCTACCTTCAAAACCACTGATCGTCGAATTTTTTTAGTAGACAGATTGCTGAACTAGTTCACGCCCCACCTGGTTTTAAGTTGTTACCAGAACTTGTAATCATTATGATGTGAATACCATCACCCACCTTAAAGCAAGTTGAAGTCTCAATTGTATTGTATAATGGCTACCCCACGCTTCGATCTGGAACACACATCTCTCAGCAGAAAGAATCAATTATAGATAATTAGAAGAATTATTTAAAAACTAAATTTAAGTGCAAATTAAACTATCACAAGTGTTTTTGTCACTCAATACCTATATAATACCAAATACACTCAGCTGACTGCTTTCCTTTGAAATAGAATTAGATTACAAATTGTTTTTGTTAATTGTAATTTTTTTGTAATCTATTTTGCAATTTTTGTTATTTTACTGAAGTAAACAAATGTATGATTAGAAAAATGTCATTAATATATTTTAATCATGCATTTACTATGACTTCTGTATCACTTGAGGTCGACTCATAGAGATAATTACTTTGGTACAAACTACACTATATACCTGCCAATGATAAAATTCATCAAGTAAGTATCTACTATAAGTATTTCTTATAGATAAGCACAACATCTTAACAATTTACTTGTTTATATTTCTTTAAAAGCAATAATTCATTTTGATAAAGAAACCATACATGCCTCTTTAGGTAAAGAATCAACTACAAAGTGTTGAAACAGAGAAAAAGAAACACTTAAACAATTCTGATTCTGAACCGATTCGTGAAGGCTCATCAACACAAACATTCAACGAAGTGGGTGAAGTCATGGAAAGTGAATTACAATGCAGTATATGTGCCGAATTATTTGTAAAAGCCACTACACTGAACTGTTCTCATACTTTCTGTTTGTATTGTATATCAATGTGGAAAAAGAAGAAAAAAGATTGTCCAATCTGCAGGTAAATACGTTTTAGAATGATTAATATTGACAGATATATATTGTAACTGATAACTACTTTTCCATACGGCTTAAGGAAAAAACGGTGCACGTGAAAGAAAATTGCTGGGTGAAACTTGCAACTGGTTCGCGAAAGGTTCTGACTATTTTCAAATTTTTTAATTGTAATAATATTTCAGGACTTCAATATCTACTGAGTGCAAAAGTTTAGTTTTGGATACATTTATTGAAAGGATGGTACAGAAACTTCCAGAAGAAACAAAGTTAAAAAGAAAAGAACTACTTAAATCTAGACAAGGTGAATATGTAATCGAGTAACAAATTGTTATGTAAGCAGTACAGCTTCATTAACTAATAATAGCCTTAGATTTCATTAGTTTCATCCGAAGACCGGAAACAGTGATATAGTTGAAAATGTGTTTTCATTTTATATTGTAAAATTAAATGAAGCTGTATTGATTACAGAGCTCGAGTCTGAAGCGGACCGATCCAACATTAGTGAAACCGATGACCGGTATGAACTCTATTTTATTCATGTTTCATTTAATAAATACTTACTTAATCCCTCTTACATTTTACAGTAGGGTTGTTAGGTGTCTTACAAATTAACGTTGTAGTAGATAGCACACGAGCGGCGGTGATCTAACAGGAAAGACACCCCGTGTAATCGTATCCAGTGATGCAGTGAACCTGGGTTCAGTGCATAGGGCTAATTTTTCTACAGAAAAAAAAAGTTTAAAGACATTCGAATATGTAAAGCAGAGTTGAAATTTAAAAGTGAAACATAAAAGTGTTTGTATATAGGCAAAAACATAGATAGATAGATATCCAAAATTGTAATTCGTTCTATTGGTACGACCAACCACAAAATATTTATAATTATTTTTTTCTTTCTAGTAAGCGCTGATTTCGTGGGTAAAGAACAAACATATTCATGTATAAGATGAATCTCCTTAAAACTTGAATCCAACTCAAGTTAATATAGTTAGTTAGTAATATAAGTTCATACATGTTTTTAGTGTACTATCCAAACACTTCTACAGCTCATTGTACCAACTGTCAATAACAATGCGACCATTTTTAGGATAAGATTTCTTAATTATCTTAAAGATTTAAAAATGTAGTATTTTATAAGCATTTTGTCTCTGATTGAGTCGAATTATATATTATTGTATTTATTTTTAGAAGAAATGTCAGCTTTAACAGCTCCGAAACGTCAGACTCCGAAATCTTCGAGGAGGAGGAGGAGGAGGAATACAATCACTACGAATCGTAAGTAAATTATATTAGTGTTTTATTCTAATGCCCTAATTTCTTATTAAGTTGTGATTTTTAGCAGCCTTTATCGAAATGTTTTTTATTATCCACTAGCTGACCCGACAGACTTCGTAGTGCCTCAATCGATAAATAAAAGACCTAAACTTTTGTATAAAATAAACTTAAAACAAACAAAATGAATCCGTCCGACGGGGTACACACCAAAGGATGGAAAATCTCGTTAACGTGTTATAGAAGTACCGTGTTAATAGAGGGTTTTTTGGAAATTTTCTTTTCGTGTCAGAGTGGAAGCGTGTTGTAAAATACCGTGTTATTATATCGTATTATATACTGTACTTTACATTATTCGTGGTCATGATCGTCACGGACGAGTCTTCGAATAAAAAACCTGAAATTAAACTGTAAAAGTATGTTCAATTACGTTATTGTATTATTTTGTATATATTGTGTTCAATGTTTTCAGCGACGATGATAATTCCGGAAGAATCTGGGTCCAATCGTCCGATTCCGACGATAGATTTGACGATGATTTCAACTTCTTCGACAATGCTTCCGAATTCAGTGACAGCGACAGCGACTTCACCCTCTCGTGTGGGTCCGGTATTACAAAATCATTCTTAATATTTCAGTACATTTATAACACACTCTGTATACTCGTTCACACACACACACACACACACACACACACACACACACACACACACACACACAGAAGAATGGCTCAATTTCAAGATGTTCGAACTCAGCCAGAAAGATAGAATGTTGTTTTTTGTAACGGACAATACTTTGAATCATATTCATTTGTAAGATTTTTTCAGAAAAACGTTACATATCTATTTTAAAAAAAAAACAACGATAACATTTGCGGACCTTATGAACAAAAAATACTTGAGTCGTCTATTATCAAAGGTGGCAATCTGTGCATTTGGTCAAAATTTTTTTATTGATATGTCAATTCAGATTGATTTGAATATAATCGTCTCCTTCAAAGAATACGGTTCAAAACCTGCATTAAATGAAGGTTAATAGTTAACCTGTTATTTATCTAAGATGTCGTTCCGAAGAGTTTTGTGACTGCCAATGGAATACAAAGTCAATAATTCGTTTTTCTGATTTACCAATCATTGTCCAAAAGTCAGATTGCCGGCTTTGATAATAGACGACTCACTTCTTTATAAAGAGGTCAAATTCAAACTCACCTTAAGTGAACTCATCGAAACTAAAAAAAACACTCAATATTCTCTTTATTCGTTCGTATTCAAGAAATCGCTCCTTGTTCCTTGTCCTCCCTTGTGCTCAAGCCCTATAAACTTTTATCTATATATTAATACGTGAAGCAAAAACTTTGTATTGTTTGTACCCTTTTTTACGAAAATTGCGCGGACGGAGGAGTATGAAATTTCTCACACTTATAGAGAATATAGAGAAGGAGTGCACAATGCTAATATTTTTTTTTAAATAATGCATAAAAGATACTTTAAATCAATAAAGAAAACATTAAACACACTACCATGTATTTGACACAACACATACATTAAAATATACTCTTTGTTTACTGTCAATTGGGAAACTTTTGTTATTGTTTAAAGTCTGTGGTCGAATTGAAAATGGATTAATATTGTTTGTCTTTAATATTATTGATCTATAGTGCAGTTTTGGCAAATACTGTGATTATATTATCAAAATATAATAGTGTTTGACAATAGAACCATAATAATGTTTAAACTTATAATTTCAATTAGGTACTTATAGTCGAATCCCAACTATTGCGGGGCCACTAGTATAGTTTAATACATAACCGATGTTTTATTGTCGCGTAGAGACTGGAAACGATAGTGATGGTGTCAGGCGGCTCGGCGTTGTCGCAGGTCGTCCAGGGTCCTACTACGGTGGCTATGGAAGATGTTACAAATGCGGTTGCAGGGGACATTGGCTTCCCGGCTGCCCGTTCTAGTCTCCGACATCCTCCGGCTCCCAATACGTAACACACATGACAATTTCGCCACGTGCAGAGCCAAAAGGTCGAGTTCGTTCACACCTTTCCGTGTGAACTGATTGAAAATCAACATAGTGGTTCCGATTTGTGGTGAATATATCACCAGGCAAACTTTTTTTTTATTGCCTAGATGAGTGGATGAGCTCACAGCCCACATGGTATTAAGTGATTACTGGAGCCCATAGACATCTACAACATAAATGCGCCACCCATCTTGAGATATAAGTTCTAAGGTCTCAAGTATAACCACGGCTGCCCCACCCTTCAAACCGAAACGCATTACTGCTTCACGGTAGAAATAGGCAGGGTGGTAGTACCTACCCGCGCGGAATCACAAGAGGTTCTACCACCAGTAACTATTATTTATTAATTGTGATGTTTTGTAACTTACAACAAAATGAATGAACTACTCAAAAATATTTTTTGTTTAATAAAATGTATACGAGACCTCTTAGTTCTGATGCTGACTTATTTAGAATACAATAAAAATATATAGCAACTGATCTGTGTTTCAAACTTATATTTTCAATGATTTGTAATTTTTTTTATAATCAATTTTGTTGATTTGTATCTGTTTTTGGCTGATGAAAAGCACTACGGGGACACATTTGTAAATACTATGTTATACTAATGTAACATGATGATAAAAATATAACAATAGTTTTTAAAGTACGCTTAAAAATACATATTTGAATAATACTGCACATTTTATTTTCTTAAAAACTAGGATTGCATAGGCATATAGCAAAAAAACGTACATCTATCTAAATCGCGGCCATGTTACTCGGTGACTAATATAATTGGTGAAGAGAAGGTAAAAATATCGCTTCCTAAGACAACAGCAACAAATAAACCGACACTGTATTGTAAAACGAAGTACATAAGTTAACGAAAACGCGGGCCCTACACCTATTTATTATTAATGTGGCTTGAGGTGAGTGTGGAAAGTGTCGCTATATGAGGAAATGATACACATTTCTTGCCAAGTTAATATTCCACATTTACTCTACTCTAAATCCTACCTATCCTGACTCACGCCACAAGCTACCTGCAATTTGTACTCTTATGGCATGATACAGTAATTAACTTCAACACAATAATAACCATTTAAGTAACAATATAGTACAATGATTAGCTTCCGCGCGCAACTTCGCCCGGGTGGAATACCCGTTTTACTTCAGCCATTTTGCGCCAAATATTTACTAATTAATAGGGTTTAAAGTATGAAATTGCCGTTTTATTGTAATAGGTACTTCGAATGGGGTTCTTCTTTTAAAAAATGTGCAACATTCGATTATCGACTATCTTTTTTTTTATTTTTTTTATTCAGCTTAGACAAGAAAGATGGATATTTCGAAAATTCGAGTGATTTTTTACGAGTTCCGACGCGGAACTAACGCTGCAGAAACAGCTCGCAATATCGATGTTGCGTTTGGAGAGTGGACTACTAATGAGCGCACCGTGTGATTTTGGTTTAAAGGCTTTCGTGGTGGAAATTTTGATTTGAAGAACGAACCACGTAGAAGACCCACACTCGTGAATAACAACGAATTGAAAGAGGAGGCGTAGGGTAGGCGAAGTATGGTAGAAGCCAATCCAAGCCAAACTACCCAGGAATTAGAGGCATGGTTTAACGTTACCTTACCAACAATACTGACTCATTTGCGTCAATACAATAAAATAAAAATATGAAAATGGGTGCCTCATGATTTGACTGATCTGCAGAAAGAAATGCGTGTTGAAACTTGTGTTGCCTCGTTGAATCGAAACGGAAATGAAGAAATATTGGATCGAATTGTGACATGTGATGAAAAGTGGATTCTTTACGATAATCGTAAGCGAAAAATGCAATGGCTGACCCCAGGTCAAACGCCGCAACAGTGCCCTAAAGCAAAGCTTACCAATAAAAAGGTAATAGTAACTGTTTGGTGATCTCGGCATGGTGTTATTCACTATAGCTTTCTCCGATCTGGTCAAGAAATAGTCAATAAGCAGATGTCTACTGTGCCGAACTCCTAACAATGATTGCAAAATTTGTAGTGAAACAGCCCCGACTCATGAATCGATCTTCACCATTATTGCTCCATGATAACGCCGAACTCATACAGCACGAGAAACCATTCTAACTACAAGAACTGCAATTAGAAACCATTCGTCACCCTCTCTCTGTATTCGCCAGACCTTGCTCCAACGGACGGAACGAACTTATTTTGTATTTACTTGCATATTTTTAGTATTTATTTATATTTAATCGAATGTAAGTCTATCTATATACATATATTTATTTTTCACATGTGTATATAAGTATATATTTTTAAGTAAGTTTATTAAGATATAGCACCGTCCATACTAGTTTGCTTATTCCTCTCCCTGCAAGGTTGCCTGGAAGAGATCGCTTTCAGCGATAAGGCCGCCAATTTATGTCACCGTATTTGTGTTATATGCTTACTCTGTACATGTGGTGTCAAATAAAGAGTTATATTATTATTATTTTGATTTGGACAATTTTCTACGTGATAGAAAGTTTGCTTCCCAGGAGGCATTACAAAATGCTTTCACACAGTTTGTAGAATCTAGATCACCAGAGTTCTATCGCAAAGGCATAAATGACCTTCCTATTAGATGGCAGCAATTTATAGATAGTATGTAATGGTAAATATTTTGATTAAATAAATATTATTATATTAATTGCGTATTGTGTTGCTTTTGTTTTTTTGTAATTTAAATTTCTAAATTTCTCTTCTTGTTCACTGTCTACTTATATGTGATTTTGATTGTGGAAACATATTTGGTTATTGTTTTAGCTATATTTTTTTTTTATATTTATGTTTTGTATTGTACTGTTTGTTTCCCAAATAAATAAATAAATAAATAAAATGAAAAGAAAAACGAATTTCAATTCTTCAGTACAAATCAGCAATTTCCTACTTTAACCCCTAATATATAAGTCGACTCGAAGACAAATAGTTGAATTATGGTGATTTGTTAATATTTTATTGGTGGTCGTACACCCACCTAAGCAATAAAAAAAACTAACTCAGTGATGTTTCAAAACACTTTTATTCGTAGTATACGGGACTTAGTATTAGTATAAAGTAGCTTCTGCGTGCGGCTTCATTAGAAACTGAATTTCTTTGAACCTTGACAACACAACGCAGCAAAAAATAATACATCTACATTGGCCACATTAAAATGAAAGGTATAATTTGGTTGCTTTTTCGGAAGACGCATGAAGAGAAACGTATAAGTTCTTCGATCTTCCTCGCCACCTCTAACCGGCATTTGGTGGGCACACGAAACACGTAATGGTCTAGGAGTCGGATTGAGCTTCCAATGTTATCCCAGGATCCCATACAGCGTGTTCTTTCTCGCCCCGCCCCCCACTACTGGAGTTGAGACACACAGAATTAAAAAATCGCACGCCATGACCCGTCGCTTAATATTGCACCCACCTTCAGCGCTCCGCAGCAATACGTTGATATCTGTGTAACGTACCCTCAGACACAGCCCACTGAGTTTCTCGCCGGATCTTCTCAGTGGGTCGCGTTTCCGATCCCGTGGTAGATTCTGCGAAGCATGGCTCTTGCTAGGATTCGTGTTAGCAACTTCGTCAGGTTTGAGTCCCGTAAGCTCACCTACTAGTTATGGTTACGCTGAAATAGCCTCTCAAGGCTCTCAGCTAGGTAGGAAAAAAAAAAGTAACATGGCTTTCCCATATAGGGCAGGCTGCAAGCATGCTATAATGTCCATGTTGTACCCGTAGTAATGACACTAACGCGAAATAAGTTCTGATCCAATGTAATTGAGATTTTTCTCAACAAACATGTAATCATCCGATTTCAGATAAACGATACAGCATTAACACCAAAGAACCCTTTCAATGACTAGGTACCTAGTCTTGGTTTTTTATTATTAAAAAAAACGAATTTTAAAACTGAAATTATAATAATAATTATATTAAGATCGTTCAAAGCGCGGAAAATATAGATAACCTAATTTTGATTCTATTATCATTCAATAACTTTACAATCAATAATGCTGAAATTTTTTTTGTTCTATATTATTTACTGGTCTGATTCTACTATTTAAACAAGACAATTGCGAAAATGTTATAAATTTCATAATTTCCTATGGTCTGAAATAGTTTAAATAACAACTTCAATAAAATTCAATTCAGATAATTTACCATAAGATGGGTATATATTTTCTGTAACAATTAATTCATGACAATGTTTCTACATAATGAAAGGGAACCATTCCCAAAGCCGAAACTTCAGCATACAAGCAACATAACAGGGTAATATTATTTGGTTATTTATTACATTTTATGAGAACTACAGAACATCAATCAGATTTTTTAATTAATTCGATGAATCTGATAACATTTCAAATCGTATTACAAATCTTCCAGTATAAAATACAGTGTAATCTAAATACGCAAAACCCATACTGCTACTTGTTATTTTTAGGAACAGTTCCCTCAGTCCTGATTTACATATATTTACACTATTAGAAATAATGAAATGTCAGGGTGTTGCATATTAAATCTTATTAATGCAAATAGATAATTTTGAATCTAAATATTAAATATTACTAACACTCCCACTATAACTATCAACAATGTTTACAATAACTACAAAAACTATTCATTTCAGGAAATTAAAGTTTAATACTGAATACATTAAATATGTAACTAAATTCAGATAAATTCTTGAACAGGCAAAAAACATTTCTTAAATACAACCGCAAATTCTATTTGATTGCTAATTTCTCTATATATTATTCTATCTCACTACTGCAATAGGTAGATCAAATTAAACATTAATGATGAGGGGGTGTATTGTTAAATTTGAATAGGAAGAACATTATTACAATTGAACCAAGACTTAGACCTCAAGTATTAAAATATAGCTGTACTTGAGTTATGTTAACAGCAGACGAATGATGAACTGGTTGATGAATCCAAAATGTTGAAAAATTTTATTTGAAGCTTGAACTACCTATTGTTTGCATTTAATTGGTACTATCATGCTATACCCGTCCCAAAATTACTGTATTTATTATTAATACATCCACAAAATATTGCACTCCCACAGCCCTGATAGATAAAAATAAATAAATCAAGAAAGGAATACATGAACAGTTAAATTTAAAAACAGCAATTTTGTGACATTTTTACACATTAATCATTCTTCTTGTTGGCAATATCTTCAGATTCAGTAATAGCTAGAGCTCCATTTTTAGCTTGCTTCTGTTGCTCTTCCATTTCACCAGAAAAGCCAAATTCATTAACACGTTTGTGGTCAACCTTGTAAATCCAGCGTTGGTACAAAAAGATAAAGAATACTATATCTGTAAAAAAAAGGGTTTATTACGAATGTTGCAAAAAAACAATATGTATAGTGCATGTGAATAATGTACAGGATGAAAATTTTAAGATAGGGCAGGTCTTAATAGTGAAGTTGTCATAATAGTTTACAAGATAATTATTTCAGAACCAGTTTTAACTTTTCATGAAATATGATAATTCAATAATTTACATTCCCAATACTTGTATTATGTATATTATGCTAACAAAAACTAAACACTTACCATCTCTAAAACATCCCAATCTATACATAGTTGGCATTTTGATTACAAATGCAAAAATATCATCAATGAATGTGTTCAGAAATTTGTATGTCATCATTCGCCAAGGAAGATGGGCCACCGATTTTAACTTATAATTGATGAATAATTGTGGGGTCATCATAATGAATCCAAATGTCAAAAGATAGCCATACATCATGTTCAATATGAAGGAATACCACCCTTTATGTTCCTGATACAGTAATGAATAAACACCATAGCCAATCAAGAGTGGAAAACATGCCCAACTCAAATAACGAAAAGCCAACATGTCATATTGTTTAGTGCTAGATTCCACATATGATCCTTTGTCAGTAAATGACAGTTTTGGAATGCCCAGTATACGGCTTTCTCTATTTATCTTAACATCCATAACTTTATTTATTTTCCAAATTTCAATTAATAATCCAATGAAACACGATATTCTAACCATTACATTGGTTTCATTATCCAGAACATAGAGGAGTACAATTGTAGACTGGAAAACATTAAAAAATACTGAACGGACAGATAATCCTTCTAAAGACTGCCTGTTGTTCCAAAACTGTATATCATTTTTGAATGCTAAAAGTTCACATATAGAGTGTAAAATTGAAACTGAGATTGTCAATGCCAGCAAATATGGAGAAGTGTCAAGTAACAATTCCTTTACAGTGTCCTGGTCTTCGTCCTGTTCTTCAGCCCCTAAAGCAGAAAACATGCTAAGCTTGTCTCTCATTGCCTGTGCAGTATAAAGTTGCCACTTGAACAGACTAAGTGGTTGATATGTCAATTGTAAGTTAAGAACTTGTGTTGTTTTATTAATAGGTACATAATCACGCATCATATTCCAGTAATCATTTAAAAATACAGCAGGTTTATATTGTTTACCATCAGGTAGAAAATAAATGAATTCATCTAGAGGTGGTGGTACACTTCCTTGTACCCAATTTGTTTGGTCATTTACCAAATTAATAGTTAAGTTAGGATGCCAATGTGAAACAATTTCTTCTTTTACAGTTTCAGCTTTCTTAATTTCTTCTTCAGATTTCTCTGTTTGACCTGTTAGTAAATTTAGAGTCTTTTGATACTTCAACTTCTTATATTTATTTAACATCTTTTTCTCAACAGAGATGTAAGGGCCGGCAAAGTTTTGTCTATTGTTAGGATCCGGTGATTTCCCAGAAGGTACAATATAAACATGTAGATAAATGGATCCATTATTTTTTAACGCAAATGATGGTGTTATGCTTGCTGAGTGACTGTATGATCCATCACCATTTGGACCTGAATACCAATCTCCATACACCAAACCACTGTGCTGCCAAATTAAATTTGAATTGTCAAAATTTGTATTAAATTCTTGTTCAGACAGATAACAGTACATGTCTAGTATAGTTCCATTTGCAAACATATTCACAGCTGGTGCTCTTGGGGCACTAGATGGATTATTGATATCTGTTTTTGGAGCAGATGGCTGTCTAAACATAGAAGTAATAAAATAAACTACTAAAGCTCTGATTATCAATGATTTTGTAATGGCAAAGAATGATTCTAATTTAGTTGGTTGCATTCTACGACGTTCCTCTTCAACGCGAGCATTAATCTGTAAAACAAACAGGTCATGGTCATTTAATATTCATTACAACCAAAAAGGATAGTAAATATTTTCAAAGCATTTTTATTCTTTTGCCGGGACAACTATTTGCACAAAATGGCGAATTAAAAATTATTTTTTTTACACTTTTAGGCAAAATATGTACTTGGTCATCTTTCATTCGAATTATTTTATGAAATACAATCTTACATCGAGATTCTCATCTGCAGCAACCACACTTGAACCATCGTGGCTTATGTTTTCAGAGTTCTCTGATGATTCATTTTCAGGAGGACCAGACTGAGTAGATAACATTTTTTCAGCTTCAGACATGATAACAAAAAAACAATTTAACTAGTTTACACTTTATTGTATGACTTGAAGATATTTCATTTACAATAACATAATGCTTCACTGGTTTAAGATTATATGTAGGTACCTACGCAGGTACGTAAGAACGTAAAGCAATTTCCTTTTTGACTGAACGATTGAAGTTTAATTCGGATAGGGTGGTGACAACAGATTCATAGATAATACACAAAACTGAATGAATTAGTGATTGCACAAATTTTAGAGATACTACTGTTTTATGATCTGAGAGAGGGGGAAAGTATTATTTATTATACAGAAATAAATAAGCAATGCGAGATAATAATTATAAAAAAATACAATTGGCGGTCTTATCGCTAAGAGCGATCTTTTCCAGTGTGATATGTATACTATACACTACATAATACGTATGTGGACTGATGCACGATAACTGGTGACATCGTTAGGAGTTTGGGGTGAATGTGAAGAGAGTAGGTAGGATGTTTTAATTGTTTTATATTGTTAATTTAGTGTTTCTTATGGTTGGCTTATTAACCGACAATGAACTGATATTAAATGAAACCATTTCATTTCATCTTATTTCAGTCAATTTTATCCACAATATAGTACCTATCAATATAGAGTTCCTAATTTATTTATTAACTCCATGAGTATCAATTATATCGTTGATCACGTCTTGACAGATTATTGTAGTATATTTTTTTAAACTAGACTCTGACAATTATGGCCCTGCTACTTTGCTAGAAATTACCATTTTGAACAAACCAAGAAGCAAAACAGAACCCTATCAGAACCTGAACACAGATCACATGGTATTTTCAAATACCTGCTTTATATGTACCTGCCTGCTTTTTATGAAGTCGCAATATACAAAACCCGGGCAGATGTTCGGGAATGTTCAATTAAAACAGAACATTTAACAAAACTTATGAATTATACATGGTAAAATCATAAGTTAATGATTTAATCATGTGTATACCAGATTTAATCAATTATTTACTAGTGGTAGAGCGTATTAAGGTCCCGCAGTGTATTTTTCACTGGTAGTAGGACCTCTTGGGATTCCGCACGGGTAGGTACCACCACCCCGCCTATTTCCGCCGTGAAGCAGCAATGCATTTCGGTTCGAAGGGTGGGGTAGCCGTTGTAACCTTAGAACTTATATCTCGAGGTGGGTGGCGCATTTACGTTGTAGATGTCTATGGGCTCCAGTAACCACTTAACACCAGGTAGGCTGTGAGCTCGTCCATCCATCTAAGCAATAAATATATATATATATATTAAGGTAGCGGTAAGCTGTAACGGTCTTCATGATTTATTATAATACCTAAGTGTATTATTATCTGAGTCCTGTGTTTTGAGTCGGGGAGTGAGAACGCATTATACAATATAGTTCAGACTTCGACCACAGGAGATAGCCTCAAGATTGTTGACGGCATTCACGTTTGCTACTTTTAAGCTTCTATTAGGGCCTTTCTGGCTTCACCAGGATGAGTGTTCGAAATCGAGGGCTCAGCCGGCTGAGCTCACAGAGTATAATAATTACTATACGAGTGGAAATTGACACCTCAAAGGCAGCTGCTACGCAAATTACTCTACCACTGGAATGGAAATGGGACCCGCTGAAATTCGACAAGAAAAAGGCCAGCTGATACTTTACAGTTTTTTGTCCTAATTCATATTTTATATGGTAATGTCTGACTTTTTTTTCTACCTAAGCTGATGGTCTAGGGAGGCCATGTCAACGTCGCCGGGCTAGTAGGTGACCTCACGGGGCTCAAACCTGACGATGTGGCTAGCACGAACCCTGGCAAGAGCCGTGCTACGCGGAATCTACCACCGGATTGGAAACGCGACTCACTGAGAAGATCCGGCGAGAAACTCAGTGGGCTGTGTCTGTGGGTTAATTTAATCGCCGAGCCCTTCGTCGCAAACGACGGGTTTGACGAGAACGATTGCCGGTGCTTGGGGTACCTTAAAGCACCGTTAGTGGATCGGGAGGATCCGAGATGACGCGTTTTGGGCGACGTAGACTGTTTACCATTTGGTCCACAGGATCGGCTATATAGTTACCGTCAGCCACGATAAGAGAGTTCTCGTGTCGTGCCGCTTTATCCAAATGGCGCATTGAGCCAACTGTAGATACTTACTGATGACTCTAGGACCAGGTCGTCGTTCCTGACGAACGACGGGGCTCCATCTGCTATCCTGCAAAAACGGGATTGAATGGTTTGAAGGGGTTTCAAGTTAGTGCGGGCCGCGTGAGCGAACACTACACTTGCATAGGTCATGACGGAGCGTATGCAAGTTTTGTAGTGTCACCTTATTTCTAAGGGGCAATTTACTTCGCTTGCAAATCATCAGATAGAAATGTCTGACATTTGATATTGTATTATTTATTATAGTATCTTATTACAGTATATTAGTACAGGTCAAGTACAGGTATGTAGTCAATTTAATAAATAAAAAAGCACTTTTTATTGAATGTTTATTCCAAACACAAAATTGAAAGACTTGAGTTAATCGGACCCAAAATTCATCAGGAAATCATCCCGTGATTTAATTTCCAACATACAATGAAATTGGTTATTACAACATTAAACAAAACAAAAATATTACTAACATCGATCCATTGTGTTNGGTCAAGTACAGGTATGTAGTCAATTTAATAAATAAAAAAGCACTTTTTATTGAATGTTTATTCCAAACACAAAATTGAAAGACTTGAGTTAATCGGACCCAAAATTCATCAGGAAATCATCCCGTGATTTAATTTCCAACATACAATGAAATTGGTTATTACAACATTAAACAAAACAAAAATATTACTAACATCGATCCATTGTGTTTTCCTAGAATCTACATGTAATACTTCGATTCTGCAGCGCACATATTGACATCTGACACTGGTTACATCACAGAGATTAGCATTACTTACATTTGAAGATTACTTAAAAACAGATTTTCTATAATTTCTAACAATGTAAATTGATGCAGTTTACAATCTATAAATATGTACGGCTCAGAAAATGTCTTAAGCTATTAAAATATACTCACTAAATCATGTTCTGCTGTCGTTTAAATTCACTTGCATTCATCTTCTTGCATCGGAACCTAGCAATCTCTTATACAAACTATCATAAATGGTAATATTTTAAGAGCCCAAGACATAGACAATAAATCAATGGCAACAGGACACAGTATAATTACTAAACTAGTGTTAATACAGTCAGATACATTAATACCGAAAAACCCAACTGAATATTGTATGAACATATCTTAATCTATGTCTGACACGAAAACCTTATAGGCGCAAAACTAAAGAAAAAAAATGCATAAGTTTTTTGATTAAAAACATGGGCTCACTCAAAGCAAGAAACAAGCAATTAAAAAATACAATTGCCCAAATTAACTGAATGTTAGTTGTTTCAAGTAGTTCATAACCATTTTATTAAGTACTTATTTTACTATTTATTATATTATTTACTTTATTTTACTATTATGGAAAAACATGAATTTCCAATGATTGTCTCTATCAGACTTTATAAAATATTAATTTTGAAGCTAATACAAACCACCATTGATTACAGCTTATGTCACTAATTTCCTAATGTCACCTTAAACTGTAGTTATCTGAATAAAATTATCTAATCTATGCACACTGTTGCCATTTTCTGAGTTTACAGTAATCTCTAATTAATCTTGCATCTCTTCAGGCAATTCATGAGGGTTCAGAATGCCGGGCACTGACAACTGCACTGTTCTCTTATCTTCTTGTGCCTGACGTAATACAAACAAACGCTCTTCCAAGTACAAATCGCTATCATCTTCACCAGTGTACTCCTGAAATTTCATTGTATCATTTAGTATGTGTCAAGATTATTCTGTGCAATTTGTTATTTAAAACAGCTAATGATATCAATTATGGCTACATTTGTTACAATGACTCAGGCTTTTGTATTTTTCAATTTAAAATATATTTTCCACTAGAAATTAGAATTTACTAAAAGTTTTTCTTGATCATACCAATTTTCATATACTGACAGGCTTTTTTTTATTTGTCTGCCGTGTTCCACGTGTAACTTGAAAACTTAGAGTCAAGACACATACATTTTAGGATTTTAGAATTGCTTATCTCACTAATTATTTACCTTTGTTTTTGATACTTACTCTAATTTGAACTAAGAAGTCTCTGAGATGATCCTTGAAAGCAGGTATATCTTGATTCAGGTTGAACAGGCCTTGTACAGTAATTTTAATTTGGTTATCAGTTAAGTGTGAAAATGCTGTTTTCAAGAGATTTGCGATATATTCCTGAAATCATAATAATTATTTATAATTTAATAATAAATCTTCACATTCTAAAATGAAATAGAATAGTTTTATTAATTAAAAACAATCAGGATGTGTCAAACTATGCACATTGAGTGTTTTAATGTGAACATTCAAGTATAACTAATAAAAAAAAAAGATATTTCTGTTGATCAACTTTAGATGCCAACCATAGGTAATCAGTAACTAAAAAAATAATTATCAATTTTACTTTTACTTAAGTTAGCGTCACAAGAGCCCATTACCAAAACATCCTGAATGTACCATTGAGAGCATGAAGTCGTCCAGGTTTTTATTTATTTACTTATAACATATGTAGATCAAGGATCTCACTGACCATCTAGTGTTAAATACTTACCAGAGTAGTAAAGGTGTACCATAGACATCAATAATGTGAATCCAACTACCTATATTGAGACATTAGATGACTGACTTCAATTATATTATTGTCCATCTCATGTCACACATCACTTCTTCACGGCAGAAATAGGCAGGCTTGTGTGTACATTTGCGTGTAGGCGTACAGTATGCCCTACTACCAATAAAACTTGCACTTATAGATTCCACAGAGCTAATTACTACCAGAATGTCAGAGCCCCAAATTCTCTCAACATTGATTAATTTTAAAATATAGTAAAACATAGTTTAGTTAAATTATGACTATTTACAATTATTATAATATAATGACATCAAACAAGCACAAATTTTGGAATGAACTATATTCAATTAAGTACATTAATATTTTATTATCACATAATTTAACTTATGTCATCTAGTTTGTTTGCTAGATACAGTTAATTATCGCCATCTTTCAGTTTCCACAAAAAAAATGTTTTAATGAAAGTTTATAATAGTGACAAATGTGATTTGTGTCTTGACTAATATACTAAAATACATCAGTGAGATGGTTTTTTTTTTTTATATTTATCACCATCCTCCAAGCCTACTTCATCCAAACCTAATTGAACCTTATATTGTGCCTAATAAATTTAACAATTTCTTGTTTGCAGTTTTTACTTGTCGTTCGTGAAGAGAATTTTATATTTGTCATTTAGTTGAATATTTTATTTTGTGATACTCACAACAACTGCAGAGTACAAAAGTAGTACCGATAGACTAATAAAAAAGAAGTAACCGAAGTCCATGAACTTACCAAAAAACCATATTCCTCAAAAAAATTGTACCAACCCCTAAACCAAATGAAATCCCAATGAAGGTACTTTTTTAATTACCATTTTTATTTTTATTTTGGTTGGTTAAGACTGGATTTATACAGAAATACACGGTCATTATTAACATTCTCTAAAACATTAGAATGAAGTTCTAAAATGTATAAATTTTTACCTGAATATAAAGAACATTGTCTGGTGTGGGTCCAAGTGGTACAGTAACTCGGCCAGCCTCTACCAATGAGAAAATGTGAGCCAGGATTGTAGCGTGCATAGTGAGTCCTGCACCATGTGATGTATCAGTGACTACACTGAAGACATGCTCCAAAATGTCACAAAGGTAGGTTCTGTAAAAACTCTGTGCTGCCTGTGGATGTTCCTCAACATTTAACAACAGTCGGTACAATATTTGTAAACCGGTATCTGCCACATTCCTCATTGTATGTTTAAATGCCCAGATTATGGAATCTAAAACCAACTTGAATTGTGCTGGTGGTATGCTCAAAAATGCTTTGAAACAGTTTGTATTGACCGCCTGCAGTAATAAGAAAAATTCTGTTCTATGTTCTGGATACTCTTCAAAGTCTTTGTTAATCATTTCCAGAGTACATTCAAAGACTGCATCAAATATTTTTGGTACTTCAGAAGTTATATGTCCTTCAAGTCTGTGCACGATTGCCGCCATGCAAGACAGTACTTCAGGCTCACGAGCTTCAGGAACAGCAGTCCTTTGGTAATCCAAAAGCACAGCATCGAGAAGAGGTGGAATAAAGTTTTCCAAAACCATACTGTTATCAATCGAGCGTGTAACCCAACTTGAAATAAGGTTCAAAGTTTCCTTTTTTATTATTCTCATATTCTTAATGAGAGGTTGTTTAGTAACTGCTACGCCATTTAAAGCTATGGCTTGACTTATATTTTCAGACATTACTTTGTAAACATTAAGCATGTCAAGGTATATCCTTCCTAATTGCACAACATATGGGTGTGCTAGTGCACGACATGCACGCACATTTGTTTTCAGTATACTTACAAGTTGTTTAACAGCTTCAGGGTCTTTCAAGATTTCAACATTACGAGAAGCTTGAGATATAATATCATCCCAAACTTGATTAGGCAGAAGCATGTATTTTTCAATTAAAAGTTCTTGGGCTACTTGATCTACTTGGGCACTGATCATGTATCCAACAGCTTCATAAAAAGTGTGAACTTGCAATGTTTGTAAATCACAAATTATAGTACTAATGGTGCCCAATATTTCTTCAATAAAAGGACAGGCTTCTCCAACTTGAGTAGTGACAAAATGTCGACGGCATTTTATAGCAATTTTTATGAATGTATCACACGCCATGTCTTGGACACCATCATGTGTTTCATGCATGAATTCAAAAAGTTTATTGACAACGGTTTTTAAAAATTTCCAATGTGCACGAAGAAAGCGTGGGTATTGTCCTACGACATACATTATGTTACTAGCAATTATAGCTTTGTTATCTTTTCCCTTTTTCTGTTCACAGAGACCTAGAAGCTCTTTAATCACAATAACCAAAAATCTCTTTTCATCATCCTCAGATAGAGCTCCAGAAATAGATCCAATTGCCCAACATAATGTGTTCAAGTTCTTCCATGACCACTCAGTACCATTTACTTGATTTTGTAATTTCTCTGTCATAATACGTTCAGTATCTAAATAGTCTAAATGTGTCAAGTAAACTAATGTTTCTCTCATATTTTTATACAAATTAATGGAGTCTGTGTCCTTCATAAATTCTCTCACAACTTCACCATTTTCATTTTCAACAACTAACACCTCTTCTGGTTTTGCCATTCTCGAGATCATAATATACCGAACACTGCTCAAGACATCAGCATACAAAGCTTTTCGGCCTCCACTTTTACCCAAATGGTACAAGTTTGACGAACATGGCGCAATTTTGTACAAATCAGCAGCAAGAGCATTCCAATATTCAAGACAAATTTTGAAAATTTCTACATCTTCTACCTCTGATATTAAGACAAGATACCTCAAACCATTCATTAAAGTGTTTGTTAATCCACTCTTTTCTATGAGCGGACCATGCTCTTTTAGATATGTGCATAAGAAAAGTGCAAGATTTTGAATAAAAACTTGTTCCTGATCTCGACCAGCTACATATGCTTCACGTATGTTTGTAGTTAGAGGAAGCATAACTTCAAGTTGTTCCATAGTTTGTACAAACAAATAAACAAACTGCTGATCATAATTGCTGACTGTGACACCGGCAATTTCAGTAAGACAGCTCAATGTTACATTCCTAAACATCGGCACGTTCAGAAACTTAAATATCAATGTGCTTATCAATTTCATTTCGAAAATATAACCAAGTGGAATCCAATTTAAAAATCTCAAAAGAGTGTCTAAGGTCACTCCAACTAAAGGTGCATTTTGTGAATTTTCCAAGACAAATTGGCATAGCTGAAAGATTTGACTGAATTCTGAACACATTGTATCTTTTAGATGCTTAGCTTTTGTTTGTGTGAGCTGGCCTGTACTAAACATAAATACTTCTTCACTCAACAACTTGAATATTTCCATATTGTTTTGACAGAGACTTTCATTCGTCTTTGAGGCACCCACAATGTCACTGATAAAAGTTTCCCAATTATGGGGCCATTCTCTTTTCAGAACTTGAATAAGGATCATGTTTAGTTTTTTCAAATAAACTTTGTTGCTTTCCATCGTAACAGGATCTGATGAATTTTTAATGATAAGGCCAACTATATATTTTTTTATACCCTCACACTGATTTCTTGGTAATATTTTCCATCTCGTTAGTATTACTTGTTCTAATATTTGTAATGCATAATATTTAGTTTCTTGATTTTGAGAATATTCAAGTATTGTATCAACACGAGTCCAAGCATCAGGATGTTCCTTCAAAGCAGTCAGTATATCCTGAGCAACACGTTGTTGATCCCCAACAGCAGAATATAAACAGCCAACAATGTTGTCCAATAAATTGATGTCCAATTTTTGATTGAAATCCAAAAGTTTAGATGCCTGTTGTTCTAAGGTTGCCATTCTGGTAAAATATATTTATTTAGTTAATTTGTTCCCTTTTTTCCAAAATCAAAATTATTTTGATTAATCCACATTCATTCCTCACCTTATACAACACTGAAAATGAAACAAAACTCTGTGTTAACAGACTCTACTGACTCTAACCTCCATATCCTAATTGTTTGTTTGTTTAACAAACACCGACTTAACAATTATGCTAGTTAAAACTACTNTGGTAAAATATATTTATTTAGTTAATTTGTTCCCTTTTTTCCAAAATCAAAATTATTTTGATTAATCCACATTCATTCCTCACCTTATACAACACTGAAAATGAAACAAAACTCTGTGTTAACAGACTCTACTGACTCTAACCTCCATATCCTAATTGTTTGTTTGTTTAACAAACACCGACTTAACAATTATGCTAGTAAAAACTACTTTTAATACTATAATTCGGTTAAGCATTTAACTACAAACTGGGCAATTACATCATTAATTGTTTAAAACCACTAAATAGAGCACACACCCCGCAATCTTGTTGCAGATTTTACTACAAGTACATTCATTACACTAATCACAAAACGTGTACTAAGTGTAGGGATACTCGTTAGAATTGTAATTTTTCAATAACTTAAAAAGTGAATCACTTACCCGAGAAAATAATTTGCGGCGCAATCAATCTAACGCACTACCATACATACTAATCCGTTGTTTTCATGAAGCTTGAAAAAGCTTACACATTTAGTCTATGGTCATAGAAAATACTAGTGCGGAACTCCTGTTGAACGTTGCATTGCATTGACTACAGTTTACTCAATGTGATTTCTTTTAAAATTTAGTGGAGAAATCTTCTGCAAATTTAAAATTAAAAGCTAATTAATAAGAAAAACTTATTCACTTCATTCTATTGCTAATTTGGGTTCAAAAACAGAAATATGGACTTTTTAAGTTAAGTGAAGTTAAGTTGTAAGTCAAGTTAAGTCAGTGTAGCTTCCCATCTCATTTGTTCAAGTCCGTTAAGTTTCAGCAAATTTACACCAACCAACACCAACTACAATTACATTTAACCACAAGTTATTGAGATATTACTTCTTTTTATCTCACTTGCTAGGCTGTATGCTAATATTTTTTATATAATTTTTATGTTGCCATTGTAAGTTGTGAAAAATAAACTATTTTTTTTAGTTTTTGGTATCTATGGTATTTTTTATCTATGGTATTTTGTGATTAAAGGCTTATTACACTTGGCTGAATTTAGTCGACTGACTTCAGAAGCAAATTTAGAAGCTTCTGATTAAACTGTTTTAAATTCAGTTACTGAATCAATTGTCAGTTTAAGCGCGACGAAGTAAGACGTGTCGTGTGCGTAAGAGGATGGCCCCAGTATTGTCTAGACAACAACAAATTTTTTGTTTTTATTTTTTATTTCAATTTCTCAAAAAAAAAACAAGAATATCGGTAAAGAAATATTTATTGCTGTGCGGAATGTTAGCAAATATGAACATTAGAGTGATTTAGAACCAGCAGACTTCAGAAATTATCTATAAATGGATTCGATCTCGTTTGACCTAATATTAAAACTTGTGACACCGTTTATTCAAAAGCAGGATATTATCCTACGATAGTCTATTATATATCTATTTTATAACTATTACATATCTAATCCTACGATATTATAAGTCCAAAAGAAAGATTGGTTGTAACATGAAGATTTCTTGCAACAGGAAATACGTATCAAGATTTAAAATTTAGTTTTTCAATATCCCAACCCTTTATGACAAAAACTATTCCTGAAACATGTCGGGCTATTTATAAATGTCTGGCACATTAAATAAAGGCGACCGAAATCAATACTTTTTATTCGGAAGCAAAAAACAAACTAAAACGTTCTTACGCACGGAGAGCTATGGGACGACTGAAACCATTAAGTAACTAAATGCGATTACACCTTCCTAGATGCATTTCTAATTAGGCTTCTAAATGATTTAGTCAGTCAGAAACCATCCTTGCTACTGAATTCAGTAGCGACTGAATTATTTTTGTAATTTTTAAGTACCCAACCTTTACATGACCGTTCGAAAGATTAATTTATAATAAAACTCATAGAAGATAGTAAATACCATCACTCAACTTGCTAGGGCCAGTGTTGGCAACACTACCGGTTTGAGCCTCGTGAGCTAAACTACAAGGAGAAGCTGAAATAGCCTCTCAAGGATATCAGCATAGGTAGAAAACAAAAACACGCAAGCTAATTTGAAAATCAAACTGTTATATTACATATGATCCTGTTTAGCATTTATTCCTATTATAAGTATATTCTACAATCAAATTAGAATGTAAAATGAAAAAACAATGATATCAGTACCTAGTTGGAGATGTTCATGGACAAATTGAGAGACCTTAGCAGAACTAATGACGAACATGTGCTACGCAGATGACACAACACTACTTGCCACAACAGAAGCAGAGATGACAGAGCTTTTGAACAGGCTGGAGCACATAGGGTTGGAGATGGGACTTGCCATCAACAGATTCAAAACTAAAATCATGGTCGTTGATCGCACAAAAAAGTTGGAGCTTAGTGGAGCAATAAACCTTGAGCTTGTTGACAACTTTATTTACCTAGGCTTCAACATTAACAACACCGGATCCAGCGAGTCTGAGATGCGACGGCGTATCGGAATTGCGAAGGGAGCCATGACACAGCTCGGTAAAATCTGGAAGAACCGTACCATTACCCAGAAGACGAAGATAAAACTGGTGCTCACTGTGGTCTTTTCCATTTTTCTATACGGAGCGGAGACCTGGACCCTTAAAGCGGCTGATTGCAAACGCGTGGACGTATTTCAGATGTGGGGCTGGAGAAGAATGCTCCGGATTCCTTGGACAGCGAAGAGAACCAATGTGTCTATCTTGGAACAACTGAAGATCAAGACAAGACTGTCTAGACTCTGCCTTCGCCGCGCACTCGAGTAGCCATAGAGAGTACGATAGCCATAGAGACTATGACGTGGCAGGGAAGATCGAAGGAAAGAGACCGCGCTGGCGCAGTCCGACAAGGTGGTTAGATTAAATTCGCACCACACTAGGGATGCCATTCCGCGAAGCCATTCATGCGACCAATGATCGGACGCGCTGGAGGGACATTGCAGGAAGTAAAATCCTGTCAAAATATTATGGTTATGACCCTCAGCAGTGCGAAAACTACGCGAGGAGGAGCAGAACTAAATAAAAATTAATTTATTAAATGTTAGTACCTATTGCAATAAGGAATTTTTAAAGCACTAGATGTGTGAACGTGTTCGAGATTTGTGTTAAGTGGTTACTAGTTATATTATTACTATAATTATATTAAAAGTATAATGTTACAAAGTCACAAAGCAGGTGGCGTTGAGCTATCATCAAGTAAAATTGATATTCTAGTTTAGAAAGGCTCAATTACTAATATGTACGTACATAGGAAAAGTAGTTCCTATTAAACTTGGCTAGAATTTCATGTATGTTTGTTATAATACAATTCATTTCGCATCCCGTGATCTTCAATGGATCAATAGAGCAATGGATCTCAATTGTGACATGATGGGGACATAACATCACAGTGCTTTCTTTTTTTTTTGTTTCAAGAAAAAGCAATTCATTATTAAAATTCATATTCATTTTATTACTCATTCAAACAAAGTTTGCGGTGAATACACAGACGCTTAGCCCTTCAAGTATTAACCATTCAACGTCAATTGTTCTGCATGATCGCCTGCCTACATGAACAACAAAAAATTGCTCTTCGGATGTTATTTTTAAGTATACTAGTGGTCCCGCAGTAGTCGAAATTCGACTATAATTAATTGAAATTGTAACTGTACACTATTATAATTCTATTTTCAAATATCATTATACTTCTATAATCACAAATTTCGCCAAGACTATAGAAAAATATTAATAAAAACAAACAGTATTTAATCTATTCTCAATTTGACCACAGACGTTAAGAACAGAACTTTGACAATAATTAAATAGTAGGTATACATGCGTGTGTGCGTCAAATACGTGGTAGTGTGTGTAATGTTTTTTTTATTGATTTAATGTATTTTTTAGACATAATTTAAAAAATATTAAGATCCTGCACTCCTTCTCTACATTCTCTATATGTGTGGGAAATTTCATACTCCTCCGTCCGCGCAATTTTCGTAAAAAGAGATACAAAGTTTTTCCTTCACGTATTAAAATATACATTAAAAGCTCAGCTTATTTACATATTTCGAAATTATGTGTAAAAGAAGATATTTTTTTATGTTTATTTTTAATGCATTGATGGCTGAACAAGCTGTCGGCTCACTTTGTGTAAAGCGGTTACCCGTAGAGTGCAGCTTACACACACGTCTTGAATACCACGATCACCATAATAGATAAATAGGTATATCGAATGCCGCCACTGAGGTGACCATTATGCCATACATGAGGTCGAGGTCTCAATTATATTGTACAACGGATAGTGAGATCGATGTAAAATTTCTTCTTCTCAATTGTGTCACTCTTGACAGAGTGGTCGTAATGAGTGAATTTTAAGATGTCAAGGTGATTTATGGAATATTTCAACATTCGCAGCCCGATTTTTTCTCAAGAAAGAGATTTATTTTACATTATCTAAATATCCGACAATAATAATAAATCCTGCAAAGTTTCTTTATAGCAGGTCTTTTCCTGTGGAGTTGGTGTTTTACAATATATAGGTACTGGCCATTTAAATGGTAATTAATGTATTTTGTAAATACTAAATTCAACTGAATTTTAATTAAAAAGTATGGAATTCGTTTTTCAAATTTAGCCATTATTTATTGATGATTATTGTTTTTAAAGATAAATTTACGCTTAGGGAAAACACGTTCCGTTGCCGTAGCAATGCTGCATGTAAAACGGATCACAACAATAATGACGTATACAGAAAGAACACTACAAACTACAAACGAACACGTGGTTCGTTATTGGTTTGAACGCTTTTGACATGAAAATTTTGATTAAAAAAATGTACCCGTCTCAGTCGCCCGAAATCCAAAGACAACAACGACGAATTAAATGCTACAGTGGAAACTAACAATACTCAATCTACCGCTGAGTTAACCGTAGCTTTCAACGTTAGCATC